CGAGCTTGAATGTCAGCAAATGAGATTCCTCTAAAAAATCCAAACAGTCTTCCAATTTGTTTTATGGCTCTGTTTATAGCTGTAAAATAAAAAGAAAGAAAAGAGAGTTGAAAAAAATAAAAGAGAATTGCAAAAGAGACTAAACTCTACTTTTGGAACTTCAATTTTCACCTTCAATCTAAGCCTAGTACACCTTTTTGGCTTTTTTAACTCAAGCAAAAAAATGAACTTTGATTGATCAAGGCATTTTATTAATGCAAGAAACTTATTTTACAGGAATTTATTTTGTTTTCTTTAAGAAATTGAACATAAAAACACCAAACCAGCTAGCAAACAAAAACGAATGACTAAATTTACAATAAATTCCTTTAAAAATTATCAACAATTCCACCACCAAAAACAAAAAAAAAAATCTAAGTCAAGCTAATCATCATCACAATTGCCACAGAAAATATGAAAAAAAAAAAACCCAAAACACACCTCATCTCGAATGAACCTATTAGTTCCAAGTAATTAATAGCCTTGTATGCTACACATATGAGTAGAATCTACAAAAAAGAAAGGCCAACTTGCTTATTTTGACTATTTTGTCAGATGAAGCCAACTTGCTTAAAAATTTCATGAGCTAATTTTTTGAATTTTTAACCAAACTTGCTTTCCAAAAACCGCGGCCTTGGCTGCTATTCTCACCCAAAAATGCTCCACCCCCTCCAATATTGAAAGTGAAAATCTTAAACAATTAAAAAGCAAACACACTAACAACCTCTGTTTGGTTTACAACAACTAACCTCGTATTGTAGCCACAAAACCCCAATTCTTAGAGGGGAAAAACTAAAAGAGCTCGCAAGCCCACGTCATCTTCGGTGTCCATACGATTGGGGATTTTGACAAGGTCGTTAAACTAGAGCAAAAACCTCTGACCAATCACATATGAAAACTAGAATTGAACACAAACAAAATTGGATGGGGTGAGCAATTCACAGTGGGTTACATGAGGTATAGATGGGTAGCCGTCAACGGTTATCATCAGCCAATACTCTCACCACCTAAATTCAAAAAAAAAAAAAATTACATTAAATCAGGAACACTCCAAATTACACAACTAACCAAACAGGAAAAGGAAAAAAAGGAACTAAAATTCACTTACGTGATCTTTCCAAAACCACCACCACCACCACCTAGCACCACTACAACAAATGCTCAAAAGATCACAGCAAATATCAACACAAATAGATCAAAACCAAAGCAAAACATTATAATTTGACTGTGTATTTTCTTTGTGTGTCGTGTGTTGACATCATGAATATTCAAAAGCAAAAACACAATAGCAACACATTAATAACTTAATTTCAACTAACACCTCAATTCCCAAAATTCACCGTCCATAAATTAACTACCTCAAAATTGACCCAGTCACGAAATTCATAGCACGTTTAAAATTGCATAAAAAAACTTACAATGGTAGAAAAAATACACGCAAACTCACAATATTTGTGTGTGGCGGAGGAATGGGTTGCATGTGTGTGTGTTATGTGTTGGTCGAGAGGCTTTGTGTGGGTCTGTGTGTGTGATGGCTAGGGGGTTTGGTGCAGGGTTGACCCAATAGAAAGGTCACTTAAGTAACTACTTAGGGCCCAAAAAAAAAGAGGGTCCCCAAATAATAAGTATAGTTTTTAACTGTAATTTAGATTGACCGAAAAATTTTGGTTAAAAGGGCCCAATCTAATGAAAATTCTTACAAGGCCTAGACTAAAACAAATGTCCAAGTCACATCTCTCTCTCACTTTTTCCAACGGTTAAAAGACTTGAAAGTTCTAAAAAATGCAAAAATTAATTTTTCACAATTAAAGCCTAAAAGTCTACTCTCTCCTCTCTCAAGTAAAAAAAGTTCATATAGCATAATTATGTATCTCTTCCTTGCAACCTAGATTAAATTGAGAAGGTACATATTTGTTTGATTAGTAATTTAATTTTTTAATATTTATTGATAGAATTAATTTAATGCAATTATTCTTTTTTACTGTGAAAGTTTGAAATAATAGATGGTTTGGGAGGTGAACAAATTGTCAATTCAAAGCTTATACAATTTTTATTTATCAGGTGATATTGTGTTTAATTCTTATTGACTTTTATAAGATATTAGATTGTTCTCTTAGTATAATTATTTGTTATTTTAAAATATATTTTATTTACAAGAATTTTTAGTTTCAAATATGTCAAGTTTTTTCAAAATTAAAACTCATAAAAATCTACTTACAATCAACTATAACACAAGAAAGATTGAATGGATTAAGAATATTATCCATTGAAAAATTATACTAGCAAAACTCAAATATAAAAACTTGATTACTAATTTTGCATTACAAAAAATGAAAAAAAATAAATTTTAAATAAAATTTTAATCATACAATATATATATTTTTTGATAAATTGTGATAGACCCTCATTTAACACTCTCACTTAGGGCCCCAATTTTCATTGGGTCGACCCTGTTTGGGTGTGTGTTGTTTGTGTATGAGAAGTGTAAAAGGAGGACGCGAGAGGGTGGCAAAGAGATGTGCTTGCAGACAGTAGTAGGTGTGGGTGTGAGTGTGATTTGCTTGTGCTTGTCTCAGGCATTTCAACAAACATGTCATGGGCATTATGATTGGGGTTTGGGCATCTCAGCAAACATTTCAGTGAGAAACAAAAAGAGGGGAGGGGAGGGGAGGGAAATACCTAGAAGATGGTTGCGTGGTTTTGACGGTGGTGCTATGGCGGTGACAATGGTGCTTTGCTTGTGACGGTGGCACTAGTAGACTAAGAGAGAGAGAGAGAGAGAACTTGTGAGTGTGTGAGTGTATTAAGGGTGTGGGTATGGGTGTTTTGTGCGTGTGTGCTATGTGTGTGTGTGTGTGTATAAGGTGGTGTGTGCAGAGGGGGTATAAGAGGAGAAGGTGAGGTTTGCACATGCAGAAGAGGGTTGATCATAGAAAAGGAGAACTGGGGGTTACGGGTGTTATCTGCGTGTGTGTGTGTGTGAGAGAGAGAAAAGAGAGAAGAAGATAAGAGGAATACCTTGGAGAATATGAAGGTGGTGGCGGTGGCAGTGGCTCAGGTAATGTCGCTGGCGTTGGTGAGAACGAGTTAGAAGTGAAGGAGGAAAAGAAAAAAATAAATAAAAAGAGGTGGACAGGGAGCGGCCTCTAACAGAGGAATGACGAGGGAGGTAAGTGAGAGACGATGGATTCAGGGGGGAAAATGTGTAGGGATAAAATTTCAAACTCTCTTCTGTTTTATTTTATGGGTGGGGTTATTTCCACCTCATAAATTTTTTATTATTTTATTTAATTTCTCATTATCAAATTACTAACCTCATTTCTTCTATACCCACCTCATTAGTAACTAAATACACCCCAAGCTAAATAGACATCTTTTAATAAGTAAACTCACTTTATATTTTGTCATAGTTAAGTTTTCATTCGCTATCTCTTCTCATGCACTCATAAAAATATATTTTTAATATAAATTTTTTTCAGTAAGATACATGTTAGTATTACTTCTCAATTTAATTCTATGTTTGATTTAATATTGATTATATGAATTTTCATTATTTTCAGTATGTTTTGATATCTTTGTCAAGTTTAATAATATTTTATTTAGAATTTATATGTGTGTATATATATGTATAATTTCAAATTATTTGTTCTTTTTTATCTTATTAAAGTTTTGCATCTATACTTGTTATTTTTTTTTTGTTCAATTTTGTTTCTGTGCTTGGTGCTTTTTTTTTTTTTTCATATTTAGTTTTATGTCTTATTATTTTGCTTGTTCCTTTAATTTTTGCTTGATTTTTTTTCCTTCCTGTTTCGATTTGCTTCTTTTTTTTTTTTTTGTTTCGGTCTTTTTTTTTTTATTTCATTCTTTTCTTTTTTCTTGTTTCAACATGCTTGACTTATTATACTTGTTTTTTTTTATCTTTTCTTGTTTCATTTTTTTATTATTTTTTTCCTCGTTTCATAAATATATTTATGCATTCAAACTAATTGTCTTCTTTCATTATTTTTTTCTTACGATGATTTCTTTCATTATAGGGGTGTACATAAAATAAGTAAACTTAACTATTAATGAGATTTATATAGCATGTGGTGGACTTAGTTACTTATTAGGTGGATATAGAAGAGGTGAACTTAATAGTTTGAGAATGAGAAATTAAATGAGATAAGAATGAAGATTTATGGGGTAAGAATAGCCCCCACCCTTATTATATAGATATAAAATTCACAGATTTATCACAATTGTCATCATACATTTGTCATTTAAATTACTATTTTGCCCATTAGTAAATCTAATTCAAACCTATGTTTGTTTGAATCCTTTAATTTTTTTTTTTAACTTATGAACTTCATATTTTGAGGGTTTTTGTTTTCTTCCCAACTTATGATATCAAACATTAATGTTGATAAAAATTTATATATTTCACATTATCAAACATGAGTCATCTGAATTACTAAAAATTAAACCTAATCGCTTGACCATCGATTTTTATCTCAAGTTTAACATAAGATGATCTCACAATTGTTCATCGTGTCAATTTTAAGTTTGATCATTTAGAATTTAAATTTAACTTGTGTGTGTGATTAATGATTGATTATTTGTATATAACGTCTTTATTATAGTCATGAATCCAAAAAAACACGTGTCGTGGGTATGATTTAATGAATTACAATCATTCAATAACAATGTAATAAAATACAACCAAAATCCAATTATACTAAGTACTAATTGAGTATTATGTAAAGCATCAAAATCCGTTTTTCAGAGAAAAAAAACCTATTTATTTCCCCCGGAAACAAGTTCTCCAATAGTCACACCCACCAATTTCCCAAAACCCCAATCACCTATCACAGAGAATCATATAGCGGAGCCACAAAAGAGGCAGAATCTGAACTCAGGATCAACGTCTCTGTCACAGAACTGACACCTCAACACATCGAAAATCCTCAAAATCCGCGACTTCGATGACTCAGCGGCGACAAAGAAAACGACAGCAGAAGGAAGAGATCGCAGTTTTTGCAGTGCATAAGAGGCTCTGTGCCCGACCATTTCCAGACGGGTATGAAGAAGAGCTTCAACACCTTCTCGTATACCAGATACTCAAAGGGGAAATGGGTTTAAGGGGTAGAAGTGTCTTCTTCTTTAGAAAGCCGGTTTGCCCCCTACGAAACCCATCCCCCTTGGGTCTGATGGAACCCACGTTGAAGGGTTTAAGTTGCCGAGCCAAGTTCAGGCCGAGAATGCAGCCCAGCCTTCACCTTGAAGGGTTTAGTTCTCGAATATTATGTTACAAAACAGGGTTACTAGTTTTTTTGGTCATTAAAATATGCTCATTTTTTTAGTTTGATATTCAAAGTTTCAATTTGATGTCTAAAATATATAATTTTTGTTTAAATTGTCCTTGCATCTGTTTAGTTTTCGACAAAAATAATCACATGATTCCGTTTGAAATAATAAAATATGTCATTTTTACCAAAAACTTAACGGGTCGTATGTTCAGATACCATTTAAACATGAATAGAATATTTTAAGGACTAAATTGATAAAATTTATATATTGAGGACTAAACTGACCAACACGAGCCTCAATTACAAATAAAAAAATCAAAATCAAAATTCTTCTTGCACCCTTCCTAGGTGACAAATATTAATGACAGAATAAACCTAAACTAAACATTGTGGAGGAAAAAAAAAATTGAAGAATGAATTGCGCAAAACATTAACACATGAGAGTAATTAGTAAATACACGCGAGTTACACGTCAAAAACCAAGTTTAGATCACCGATTGTCTGCCCAATAAAAACTAAATTGCTGGACAACCCAAATAAGTTTTCAAGTTGAAAAAAGGGAAAAACTTTACTTAATGATACAAACCCGAAGCCATCCACTATCAGCGTCCCCCTGTGCCGATGGCCCTCAAGGGAAGAATCGCCAGAAAAGAAAGAGCTATCTTTGGGCATAAAAATTTGGATCAAGGTTGGAGATGCATAGGGGTGCAACTCCGGCGACTTGGACAGTCAACTCTAATTCAATCCTAGGTATATAACCTTTAACCCTAACCCTAACCCGATTTTAATCCAAGGGACTCAACCCGACCACTGCCCGAGTTTAATTCGGGCGGGCTCGAGATGAATTCGGATTACTAATTTTAGGTTACTTTATGGGTTCAATTCGGGTTGAACCCAAAATAGGCTTGTTGTTCTAAACCTGATACATATATTACATAATATTCACCAAAATTAATAACCAACAATTTCATTCAATCAAGTTTTTAACATAAAAACTATAATATTAAGAACTCAATGTTTGAAATAATGCAACCACAACCAAAACTCAATGTTTAACATAAACACATAATAGTAATTTAACGCAAACATAAATAGAACACAAAACAAGAAAATTAAATCAAATGACACAACCATTGCCATTGCCACCAGTCCACTGCTGCCACTGCACAACCACCGCCACTAATTTGAGATTCGTGTAGCAATTTTAGTTGTTAAAAAACAAAAAAAATTAAATTTACTTCTTAGGTTATTTTAAATTTACAATTGAAAAAATCTGAAAATAAAATATAGCACTTGAAAAAATCTGAAAATGAAAAAAAAATAACTCTGAAAATGTGAAAATAAAAATAAAAATTGCACACCTTATCTGATCTGATCTGATCTAATCTAATATATGATCGATGAAGGGAGAGGCGTAGACGGTAGATCTACTATGAGATGAAATTTGATTTTTTAATCTGAGATGTGATATGATCTAAAATTTCCTTTCAAGTATAGATATGATTTTTTTCGACTGATTTGAGATGAAAGAAAAGTCGCATATGAAGGGAGAAGGAGTAAGAGAGGGAGGCAGAGAGAGGGAGGAGGGAGGAGTGACGAGTGAGAGAGAAGGGCTAAGACTCTGAGATGACTAAGTCGAAGGAGACTGAGAGAGAGAGGAGGCGCAATGGAGAGGGATCTAAGAGTGAGAGATAGATCTGAGAGTCAGAGTGAGAAATTAGTTAAAACTTAAAATATATTTATATATTTATGAATATCCGGGTTGAACCCGATTTAATATTTGGGTTGAATTTGGAAACCCGAAGCCCGCTCAAATTTAATTCGGATTGAAATTCTTTGGCTCAGACCCAACCCAAGTATTAAAAATTCTAACTCAAATCCTATTTTTTTCGGATTAAAATCGGGTTAGTACACCCAAGTTGCACCCCTAGAGATGCACTTAGGAGACCTCAACGGCGACGCCACCTTTATCCATTCCTCTCCATAATCCAAAAAAATGCTCCCTTGCGGCATGGATAAGGTGCCATCTGGATTTAAATGGGAAATGGGAAATGGGAACTAGGGAAAGAACTCTCATGAAATGCCATAAATTTGCATTGGTATACACGAAATTTTGTTTAAGTTGCAAACTAGTGTAGTATTGGAGTCATGGGCGAAAGATATGCATAGCAGTCAAATTTTTCATATTGTTTGACGTATTACAAATAATAAATCATCTAACATTAAAATTCATTACATTACAAACATAAGAATTACACTAACATTGACAACTTTGAAAAAGTGATAGTTGATTTAATGTTTGATACGATGAAGATGAAATATTAAATATCTCAAATACCTGGCAAATTAAGATTACTGTGCGAGCAAAAGTGATGCAGATGACGAACAAGTTGCAGAAGATGTGGTGAACTTTGAGGAATCAGTGTTGTAACTATAACTCGAAGATTGGTTTCGGCTTCTCTCAGATACAGTGGTGCCATAGGATAATGATTGTGAAGAAGTGAGTGTATACCCTGACGAAGACAAATACGTTGGCACTGGCATTTTTGGTGGAAGATCGTGTTGGGAAAATAGGCTTTCCCACAAGTGTAAATCAATGGAAGCAATATAAATAAAATAACAGAAAATAAATAAGCATACAAGATTTACGTGGTTCCTTCAAACAACTTGAGGTACATCCACGACGACCGGTAGGTCAGTTTCTTCCACTATCACCAAATCAGATTACAAAGTGACCAAAAGACATAAGCCTTACAAACACACCAAGGTGTAAATCACAAGAGGAAAATACCTCACAAAATAAGTGAACCAAATCTCCAAGAACAAACCGCAAGAAACCCAAATATCAAGTGAAGAAATATTACCCACTTGAAGAACAAATTTGCAGATTTTTCTGGCACCAAAAAAGAAGAAGAAGAAGGCTGAATTTTTGTTGAACCAAAGACTGCTGAAAATATGTCTTCTTGCCAAACCAACAGAGAAAAAATGAACCAAAGAAAAGGACAAAACTTATAGTCTTTGATGGCTGCCAAATTCCTTTTTAACTAGAAGACTCCAAACCAAATCTTGGATAAGAGTCCTACACGGGTAAGCCACCAAAAAATTAGCAAATTGATGAGTCCCACAAAGGAGGGAAACCCAACAATTCTCCCCCTCCCGACTTATGTGGAGGATTCGACCATTTCCGCCAAAAGTCGACACTTCTCATGCTTGTCCTTAGTCAATGCCTTAGTTAACATATCCGAAGTGTTATCATCAGTGTGAATTTTTTCAAGTTGTAACAACTTATCATTCAAGACATCACGAATCCAATGATATCTAACATCAATATGTTTCGATCTCGAATGAAATGAAGAATTCTTGCTCAAGTGGATTGCACTCTGACTATCACAATGAAGGACATACCTTTATTGTTTCAAACCCAACTCTTGTAAGAATTCCTTCAACCACAATAATTCTTTGCAAGCTTCAGTGATGGCGATGAACTCAGCTTCTGTGGTGGAGAGAGCAACACATTTCTGTAATCTTGATTGCCATGCCACTGCTCCCCCTGCAAAAGTAATCAAATAACCAGAAGTAGATTTTCGACTATCAACATCACCAGCCATATCAGAATCTGTGAACCCATCAAGAATAGGCTCGC